GAGAGCCCATAACCGATCCCAAATCGTTTCTCGCAAAGATACACACCTCAAGAGAAGAATACGCAAAGCTCTCTCTCTCTCTCTCTCTCTCTCTCTCTCTCTCTCTCTCTCTCTCTCTCTCTCACACACACACACAGACACACACAAACACACATGCACACGGACGTGACACACACACACACACAGACACACACAAACACACGTGCACACGGACGTGAACCCAATCTTTTTCGAATCTCCCTCCCTCTCTCTCTCTCTCTCTCACACACACACACACACACACACACACACACACACACACAAACACATACACACGCACGCAGTACCCAACAATCGGATAATAACGAGCCTGGACCATCTCTTTTTCGGAACCTCGCGCGCGCAGGACAGCGAGAGAGACCGTGTCAGAAGAGGTCATGTGCTCCATCAGTCTTCTCTACACCACGACCTCTTCTGATTATTGTGGAGGGGGGAGAGCAAGACAAGCCTCCTCATTGGTCTCTCGCTCTCTCCTCCACATCTGCCTTCAACGACTCTTCATGCTTGCTTAATTCACAAGCCTCCTCATCGCTCTCTCGCTCTCCCCTGCACCCAGTTGTTGCTTTGTTCACGCGCGTTCCTCTGGAGAAATCGAAGGCGCCGTGGATTCTTCGATTGGACAGCAGATCATACCAGCTGTGTGTGAGTGTGACTCGGCGAGGACGAACGAGATCGAACGGGACCCTGCATGTGATTAGGGACAGAAAGATCAAACGCGGGCCTTGTGTGCCTTGTGGGACTTCCAACATGCTGCTGCCTGCACCTTGGGACAGATCCTCCCTCACAAGCCGTGCTTTTGTATTACCTCTTCGACAGATCGAACGACCAGGGAGCTCCTCATGCTCGTAAAACTCCCGCTGAAACGATTCCATGATGAGAAATACAGTATATCCACCCTATATAACTTTCTCTCGCCCTCTTGACTAAAAGTAGATCAAGTGCAGGGTATCTGTTCTGATCAGTTTAATATCTGATCCCAAAAAATAAAAATAAAAATCAGAGGACGTAAAGTAAAACAACAAAACATCCAGCATGCTCGCGGTCAGTCTATCCAAAAGATATAGTCAATATCGGGGCCGTTACCAGGCGGCCATGCTGTGCCTCTAGTGCCAGCGGCGTGTCTGGAGTGTATTTTTTGGCTGTGACAGACCTTTCTTTGTTTCGTGGATGTTTTGCTTGGTTGTTGCTTGTGATGGGGTGTGAACCGACAGTCTGTAGAGTTTTCCATCTGGT